CCCTTACACCCCCCCCCCCAGCTGCCGTCCATGTCTTACCCCGTGTGGCTCTATGAGCTGTCCGAGACAGTGACTAAGCCGCTGCAGCGCAGCTTCCCGCCGCCACGCAAGATACGCATGGAGTGGCCTGAGGCCGGCGTCAAGGTGCGGCACTTTGGGGGCAGGTAGAGGGGGGAGGGTTTTTGTTGAAAAACGGGTGGAGGGTAAGGAGGGGTTGGGAGTCGAGAGGAGGGCCATTGCCCACGACTTGTAAGCTGGGGGCTGCCAAGTGTCATTGCGGTGGGTGGCTCGCGGGCAGGTGCAGAGCAGGGATGGAAGGAGCTGCTTGGTTTTCCAAATCCACCCCCACCAGCTGCACCCATCCTTGCCGCCCTGTTGCCCAAGCGCAGCCCGCCTGAAGCTAGTGCCCCTGAGTCCATGCACAGCGACCGCAACTAACAGGCAACCGGTTGACCAATCCAACGCCCCTGTTGCGGCAGATGTCGATGACGTGGCGACTCAGCATCTGCAACCCTCCGATGCTCAACAAGGAGGGGAAGCTGGCGTTTGTGGTGTGCCGCGTCACGACCTACCCTGCGGTGAGGGGCCGACAGCGGGGCTGACGCTTGTCTAGATGGTGGTCTGTCTAGACACAGCTAAACGATGGCTGATATCTGGATGGATCCGGGCCTAGCACAGGGGGGCTGATCACAACCTTATGTGTTGTATCCATTCCGACTGTTTGAGCGGCAACCACCCCTGCTGCACGCTGACACTGGACGTTCTGCCACGTTCAGCTTGGCTGTTTGCGGCGTTTGAATAGCTTAATTCCGTCGTGCGGCCGCTCCACCATCATGATCTGATCTTCAGATACTTGACTGTACCATTGAGCCCTGACTTTTCATTCCTCCCACTTACTTTCCAATTGGGCCAAATGTGCAGGGCAGCTACGCTCTGCCGATTGCTGTCCAGTCGCGGTTTGAGGAGATCACGCTCACGCAGGCGCAGCAGTTCCGAGGTTACGCTTTCGCCTTGGACAGCGTCACCAGCCGCGAGGTGCGCGGGTGCGAGCCACCACCAACAGCGATGCCACAGCCGTGTCAAAACAGTTTTTATGCTCAAGAGATCTGCTGTGATTGTTCAGGCTGGACAGAGGGCGGGTTGGATTTGAGCTCATCAGCGAGTTGGACTTGATTTTCAAGGCTGCCATCGCGTCATGCGGTAGGGCGGCCAGGCCTGAGTATGCCCCGCCTGTTCAACTCCCAGCGGCGCAGCAGCTCACTCGTCTGTGTTGCTCCCGCAGGGCCGCATTGCGCTGGCATTCACAGAGACGATGGACGCGCTGAGGTTCTGCCACTCTGCCCAGACCCTCTACATGTGAGTTTGCGGCCTCGCGGCGACAGCTGCCCGCGATACGGGTGCTGCAGCGTGCAGCTGCGGCTGGCGCTTGGGCTGGATGTGTCAGAGCGCGGCCAACAGAGGGACTCTGGGCTCTGCAGTCATGGCCCGCGTTGCAACCGCCCAACACGGCGCACACGGATCGACCCCCTACCCCCACCACCACCGATGCTCCCAAGGGCGGCCAACGGCCGTCTCCCGGCACACTCACCCCCGACCTGCCCCCCACCTTTGCCCCCTCGGCTTCCCCCCAGGTTCTCCTCCTGGCCGCCAGAGGCCCACGAGTACTTTGGCCTCAGCGTGCCCAGCGCGGACGGCACCTGGGTGTTCCAGGGCCCGCGCGTCGCCATGGCCATCCACGACGACGCCTCCTTCCACGTGAGGGGGCATCTATCGTTACGTGTTGCTTTGCACTTGCGTGTCATGAACGAACACGGGACAACGGTGGGGTTTAGACGGTTGGCCGCTCCTGCGCGCCTGTCTCTTGACCTAGCAGTTGGGGTTCAGGCCGCTAGACCAATGCTGGTCCCGTCGGGCGGGATGCTGTGGCCAGGCTGTTAGCGCACAAGGTCCCCAGGAGCGCGTGTCCTCGGCCGACGCCTTGAGACGCTCGTTTTGCCATCCTTCTGACCGCAAAACGTAACGCCCGTTTGGGGCGTGCCTGCCTTGTCCCCGCAGGCTGCACAGCTGAACTCGCTCAAGGGGATCCTCAGCCCGCAGGACAGCGTGCGCATCGGCGGCGCCGCGGTGGACTTCACGGCCAAGCTCGCGTCCATCGCGCGCGGCGGGCAGGTACGCGCCGTGCGCACGGGCCTCGCGGCCGCTGTGGGCAGGGGGGGGGTGCTGGCAAGGCAGCCCGGTGGCAGGGCAGATCCTCGCTTGGATTGCGGCGTGCGCTGGAACCTGGTGCACGGAGACGCACCGGCGCTGCCGCAGCGCTTTGCGACCTGTTTTCTATAAAGTCATCGAGGCATGCCCGGAAAATCAGTCGGCTGGCTCCTAAAATTCATTGTCGTTGGGCTGTCATCATTGGTGCGCACACCCTGCTGCTGACTGCCCAACTTCAGGTCATGCTCAGCCAGGCGGCCTGGGAGTCTGTGAAACCCATCATCACGCAGCACCCTGGGGCCGCCCAGGTGGGTGGGTGTTTCCATCCCAAGTTGAGAGCTTGCACCACACCGGCCACCCCAGCAGGCCGCACTGCCCTTTGAGACCGTTGAAAGCCTTCGATGCGCGCTCTGCTTGCCAGTGCCTGCCCGCTGCGGGCCATGTGCGTCAACCTTCTGACGCCAAACCCACCCTTCCACCCGCCGTGCGGGCCGGCAAATACCGGGAAAATGGACCGGCTTCCAATCTGTACAAACCTTGTGGTTTGGAGCACCATCCTGCTGACCCTGCTAAAGCAGCTAATTGTTTAAATAAGAACAAACAATGCCGCCGACCGGCAGGTCATCAGCCTGGGCACGCACGTCATCAGCGACGAGTACCCCAACCCCTGCCTGCTCATGGAGGTGCGATCGGGGTCCAGGGATCAGGCTTGCATGCCCAGTTCCAGGGCCCCCAGCCTGGCTGCTGGGGTGCCACTTGCCTGTGGCAATGACCTGCACCTGTTCACCCACGCCCGTGACACCCCCGCCCGCGAGCACGCGTCTCGCGGGCGGGGGTGTCACGGGCGTGGCACCCCCACCCGCGAGACGCGTGCTCCCCGCAACCCCCGGGTGCCACGTTGCATCCCCCTCGCGCAAAATCCATGAGTCTTATGGTCCACACCTGACTCCTCATACCGCACAAAGAAGCCGGCTCCCAACCTGCATTCATCATGCCGCGTGCACCTGCTTTTCACCACACACGTACGCAGCAGCGCGTCTGCAAAAACTCTTGCCAATAGCTCCCCCCCTCACATGCGCACACATCAGGTGATGCCCAACACCCTTTCGCGCCGCGTGTTCAAGAAGCCTATCACCTGCAAAATGCTGGAGCTGGGGTACAGGGACGCGCCAGACCTGGGGGCGCCGATGGCCATCGTGTTCTGCAAGGTGGGAGGGGTGGCCGTGGGACCGCGCCACACCACGGGGCTTAGCAGGCCCCTGTCCAGGCCGCGGCAGCCGGAAGGGCATGAAAGGATCCCGGGTTGTTGCTGTAGGCACATGCGTAGGCTGGAAGGGGACTATTGATATCGCTAAGTGCTGCGTCACGTTAATTTTGGTTGATTGCGTGCCGCGGACCGCACTTATGGGCGTCTGGCATCAGAGACAGCAGGGAAGACAGAGTGACAGCGGTGCACGTGGGGGCCCGCATTCACCCCATCTTGAACAGCAGTTGGTGGGCTTGACTCAGTGCGGTCGTCCCGGCGCACCCCGGAACCGCTGCCGTCCCGCCGGCTGTGCCACGCGCGAACAGCACCCCTGGCTGCGCTCATCCCGAGGCCCCCTGCTGTGCGTGGTGTTTCAGGTGCACAAGCCCGAGGATGTCACCGCGGCCGAGAAGCCGGAGGGGCACCAGGACCCGCAGCTGATAGGGCTTTACCAGGTGCGCTGGGTAGCGGGCATTTGAAGGCGGATTTGGTCCTCTCTAGGTCGCTGGGGGGGGGGGGTATGGGGGTCGCCGGTTGGTGGGAATTGGGGTGGTGCCAAGCCGGCTACTGTGGCCGTCCCTCAAGTGCGGCGCCTTGTGGGCTTCTAGAGTTGCGACGCGCCGGCTGGGGTTTGCGGAGTCGTGGCTGCTGCCGTTGCAACCGGGCGGGCGTCGTTCATCAGAGGGCGGTCAGTGTTGAGGAACTGCCAGTCGCAGGATATGTGAAACGCGCGTATGCCTGAAACTCTCATGTCCCCTCGAAACCCCATGGCACCCCTCCCAACCGACATACTGTACCCCATGACACCCGGATCCCTCAGCACCCTCTAACCTCACAAACTCGCACACGCACACGCACACGTACGCACGCCATCCTGGCCCTGACGTCCCCTTGCCTGATCCCATTCCTCATTGACCGCCCATCACCCTTGCACACAAATCCACATGCCCCGTCACCCCCTTAGTCATGCGTCCCAATCTACACCAGCCTGGCGCGCCGCCTGCTGATAGAGTACGAGGGCTACGAGTGCAAGGAGCCGGAGCCCGGGAAGTTCACGCTCGCATTCAAGTGAGAACTTCACACACCCGTCCCGCAGGGTGGCGGGCGACGCCTCGCAGGGATGGCTGTTCGTGCGGACGATGCCGGCGGCGGCTCCAGACCCTGCGCCTGCGAATGCGCGCGCAGCCGGGCGGGGGAAGCCGCTGCTGGCCTGTGGCGTGAGGTTGGCGCGCCGGGTAAGAAAAAAATTGCCGGGTCTTGCGCGCTCGCCTTGGAGTTGCTGCCTTCAGAACTCCAAGGCCCCTACTGACCCAGCCCCACCGCTGCGCCCCTCCGCGCCCCCGCCGTGATTTGTCCAATGCAGGCGGCTGGACAACGCCATCCAGTGGGCGTGCCGCCTGCAGATCGAGCTCGTTCACGCCAGGTAATGAGGGCCCCGCCCTTGCCAGGGGCTCATGCGTCGGCCGCGGCGCGGCTTCCGTGGCAGAAGCCCTGGCGACGCAGGCACGGTTGTGCCTCGCGATGCCTCGGACACACCACCTCCGAACATACCACCCACCCCTGCCCCACAGCCGCACCCGAGACGCCCCCCATCCAGTCACACGCCACCCCACGCACACTCAGGTGGCCCACCGAGCTGCTGGGCATGCGGGACTGCGCCCCCATCAGCGGGACCTACGGGGAGCCCGTGTTCCGCGGCCTGCGCGTCAGAATCGGCATCGCCTGGGGCTGCGCAGGTGTGGCCCCGGCCCGCATGGGCAGGCCTTGGGTCAGCGCCTGAGCTGCACAGCCTGTCGGTTGCACTCAGCGCAAGTGCATCCTGCTGGTTGATTCGGCGTCGAGTCCGCAGCACCCATCCTGAGGGCCCCATGTTTGACCTAGCAGTGGCCCCGCGCCCGCTGATGATCTGACGGGGCTTCTCGGCCACCTTTGTGTGTGATAGCATGCCCCACCGCCCCGCGGCCTTGCCCCTCGGCCTATGCCCTAAGTATCGCTGATGTTTCTGACAAGGTTTGCTGGCAAGCACCCATCGTCAAGCGCGCCTACTGACAACCCCCCCCCACACACACACACTGACACGATTACGGCGCTCAACCCCCTCCCTTGACCTCCGCCGTGCCGCAGGCAGCAAGAAGCCCCTCAACACGGGGCGCGCCGACTACTTTGGGGTCCTCGCAAACGTCGCGGCGCGCGTCATGGCGGCTGCAAAGCCGGGCCAGGTGCGGCCTTTCGCGCGCGCCGCAGGGGCCGCCCCTCGAGCCTGTGCAGCGCGTGTGCCGCATGGCTCGCCCTGTCGTGCCGCGCGGCCGACGCGTCTGAAGGGCCGCGCCTCCGATCGGCCGGCCTGTGAAGGATTTCATCCAGGACCGGCCTGCACCCTTGCCACCCGCCCACTCACTCCGACCCCAGGTGTTGATGAAGCTCTCCAATTCCCCTGACACGCACACACCCCACACACACACACACACACACACAC